AGCTCCAGAGATTGATAATATTTATGCTATAGGGATAGTTATTATGATAATATTTATTTAATTTTTATATAGAATAACATGCTCATTAATTTTCAAAACTGCCAAAATTTGCAGCAATTTCAAGGCTTGTCATTTTTACTCCCATATCCCAGTTGTTTGGAAAAAAGCTAACATTTTACTCATCCTGAAACCTAGAAAGAAACTACAATTTGCAGATATTTTTGTGTGCTAATAGATCTTATTTCTTTACATGGCAAGTTATTTGAAAGGATTACACAACACAGAGCATTTATTCGGGAAATATGTATTTTTGTGCAATCATTAGATTTTTATAATGGACAATTTAAAAATAATTTTCACAAGTTTTTGACAACATAAAAAATAGAATTTTTAAACCACAGAAATGACACATACTCATCATCAGTTTTATATTCATGACATCAGTTTTATATTCATGATTTCTCCTGTTATGGTTATGACAGACATTGTCTTAACCACATGCTAGACACATGAGACTGACTTTCCATCAAAATCAAGACACTCAGACTATGTGATAGCCAGACTAATGAAGGAAATCCCATAAACTGATGACTAACATCTCCATAATGTCTATTTCTAATAAGAAAATACAAAGAAAAAGAGACTGTCAGCAATATCATTTCAGAAGTCAAGGCCGCCTAACTATAAGAGTGATAATTAACACATTCTTTATGTAAAAAAAATCAGGTAAACAGAGTCAAAAGCAAGGCTTACAGCATGTCAATCAAGCCAATTCTGAATAAGAACTCGCAATTAAATCTTGGGGAGAGCATATTTTCTTAGCTGTTATATGCCAGATTATTATTTGTGTCTCCAGCCTGGACTTCTATTTCTGACAAGGAATTACCCCACTTTAAATGCTTTAGAACCAGTTTTTGACAATTACAAAGGAGCACTCCACTTCATAAGTGCTTCAGAGAGACCTTAAGCTGGAACTCCTAAAAATTACCTCAATGATTAATGAAAAATTCTTCAGGTAAACTTAAGCATTTGTGCTATCATTACCTGCTAGCAAAAAGTTGATTATCAGATATTACTAAATTACTATTACCCAAGACCATATGCTATGTGCATGATCAGAGGCCTCATTATGCTGTAGTGACTTCATTTTCCACAAAAAGACATGGCTTCCTCAATGTTTATTTTGAGGAGCTCTTTTGGCTCAACTGCTTGGGGTTTTATGTTGCAGCACTGGAGGATTGAAAAATGAACCTCCACTTTAACACCACAGCAATCCCTAACTGGTGTCATTAACTGCCAAACATCACAATTAACAAATCCAAAGTGTTCTCCAATAACAATGGGTTCCAACAACCAAATATAGATGGCTGTTAGACAACAAGGTCACATGGCAACAACACATGTACGAGCTGTTGTCATGTAAATTCTTCAATTATACAATTGTTTACACATTTCTTCGCGAACATACACATCAATGAATCTAATCATTTCCTGTACTGCATTCAGGCACCTACCTTTTTTACTCCTCCCATCTCAGCTTCCAAGCTCAACTATTTTTTAAGGAACCTGCGCTCATTTACTCTCATTCATCAAATTATTATCGGCAGATTGTTAAAGGTTGAATTATGCTTTTAATTATAACATAGTAAGGTATTATCTCACAAAAATACTTATTTTCACAATAAATATCTAAAATTTTATTTGATTTACAGTATAAAATTATACACTCTCTTAGCATTTCCTTCATGCTAAAACTATTTTTACATATTCTTAGCTTCCAAAAAGTTTCTTAAGATTTCAGTCAGTGTTGTATACAATTTCTAAAAATGTATCAACTGATGAATAATTATGCTTTCATTAAATTTGCTTAAAACAAAACTCAGTATGAGGAACAAACAGTGCTGGTCCTGAAGAGGATTAGATAAATTTACAACAGTAAAAGTATTCATATATATTGAATGATTCACCACACATCATCAACGTTTGAAAATTAGATTTAAACCTATGAATAATTTTCTACAATTTCTTCCTGATTTGTAATGCAGCTCATATATATTTTGAAAGATAATACTTACAACATCAATTGATAATTTCTGCCCCACTTCAATAATCATACGTCGCATACAATATTCATTCAACAGGAAACAAACAAACAAACAAAAAAAAAAAAAAAAAAAGCAACACATCAGCTTGAACTAAAAAAAGAAGAAAACAACACAGGTCATAATATGCAATGTAAAGCAAAAAATTATACATATATAAAAGACAAAAGGGCCGGATCCATTCCCTTTGCTGAAAAACAGCAAGAGATGACATTCTGAAATATGTTTCAAGACAGACAATTGCTCCTTCACAGCTGATACAAAATATGTTTCTGAGCATACATATTCTTCTGACAAATAAAAGGAAAGAGTGGAAAAATCCGAAGTGTTCTGTTTAACTGAGTACGCTGTACATTAGATTATTTTGGTTATAGTAGAGCATGTGAAGACTATCTAAGGAAAAAGATGCTTCTGGACTTTTAAGACATTTTATGGAAGACTTTTCAAGAACTGGCTCGTAATCAAGTTACATATGGAGAAAACTATGAAAACTCTTGTAGACAGCCTGTTCACAACTATTTTAACCCAGATTGAGCAAAACTACCAATGTTCAGAGATTTTTACTATTCAGCTACTGATTGGCCCATATGCTGCACACAGCCATTACTTTCATATATTGTGGATTTAGTTCTAGTCCACTGCAATGAAAAAAGTCATTTTAATATTTTGATTTTGCCTTGCATTTAAAAGTTATATTTCATTCTACACATACTATAATTTCTACAGCAATGAAGCTCTTTCGCCTTCTCACTATTAAGTGTATGTAGTGAAGTAAGATTTTTTATTTCCATCAAATATGTTTGTTTGGATTCATATTTTAGCTTATAGTCTGAGAAACAACAATCTGCCTATCACAGCATTTAACAAGTTTTCTCTCTAAGATAGATCCTCTCTTCAGTTCTAGTTTTAAATTTACAATAAATGAACTATGACTTTTCCTTTTGTTTGAACACTTATAGGAAATTGTAAGATTATTAAGAGCCTTAGATTCAATACAAACTTCTTGAAAATGTTTGAAATATTGCAAAGGTTAACAATCTGTACACTACACAAATGCAATTTAACTGAATGCAAATCATATTTTTTAATATTTTGAAAACAGAAACTCATTAGGATTATTTTAACAACAAAAAAATTAAATAACAGTGTTCTGAAAAATTAGGTAAAAAATATATCACCACTGAACAATTAGAAGCAATTAAACGATTGCAGGGTGCACACAAACAGTCCCTGATTTCAAGATGTTACATAGTTACTGGAATATTTCCATGAAATTTTGCATGATGCACAATTAACTGAAAATATTTTCATATCTTTCTTAAGAATTACTAGTTTTGCCTTAGGCAACTAGAGTCACATCAAAAATAGCATTTACTGCACAGTAAAAAAAGCTGGTATGCACTAGAACTTGCCAAACATGCAGTGCTGTGATTTGTATATAGCTTTCTGAACAAGACAGAACAACAGCTTTATTTTCCAACCTGATGGATAGGATGAGCTGGACCCAATAATAATTTTTGCAAGAGATCATCCTAGGATCACCAGGCTTAACCACTTGAGACTTTTACTTTTGGGGGCTTGTTAAGGGCAAGGTCTATGTACCTCCACCACTCACAAGCTTGAATGATCATCAGGATTGCATCCATGCAGCTGCATCACATCAGACACACACCTTCAAGATGTAAGGTTAGAGCTAGATTATCATCTCAATGCTTACCACTTCACAGGTGACATGCACAAATATTTGCAATTCTAATCGATATCACCAGATTTTTTTTTTTTTCCTAGTTCATGTAACTAGTGTTAACATTTGGACCAGATAGCTCTTAGGGTATTAAAGAAATATCCTTTCAAAAGGACTGATCAGGGACTGGTTTTGTGCTCGCCCCATATTAATTAGCCTATTTTCTGCACAATGAAAAGTATGAAATGCAAGAATTATAATATGATAGAGATGCAAAGCAAGCAATATGCTTGGCAAAATAATCCCGACTCAGTAGTAGCTCAATGTAGGTTTGCTCCCAAACTTCTGTTTGGGAGGGGGGACTTAAATGCACATCAATAAAATAAAACTGCAAATGTTTATCTTTTCTAATGACCAAAGGCTTATTTTTTTCGGTTTATATAATCATAAAATCAAAATGAGGGGGGATTGCAACTTCATTCTGTTATAAAAATTCAAATATTTAGCTGCCTTTAGTACTTTCATTGATACACAAATATTGAGAAATGTGTTAACATATGTATGTAATGCACTTTAAATACTTCATATTGAAGTTACATATACCTTATATCAAATAAGTCTATTCTCGAAAATAAACAAATAATATACTTTTCTTAATTTCCCATATGAAAAAATTATAAATTTATAGCTTAAAATAGAATAAACTGCTGCAAGAAAAAAAGCTTGTGCTGCATAACATTCATGAATTTGAGTATAACAACTTCTTACATTCCTCAAAGTTTTACTAATAATTTATTATTTTAATGAAAAACTAAAAACAACTATAGATGAAACCTTCCATATCAAATAAATGCAGCTTCAAGACAGTCAATTAAATAAATATTAAAATACTTTTAGCAAAGTGAAATTTAGCATTTTTTCAAAGATTGTAATTCATCCTTTTAAAATGCTAGAATGAACCCTGAACATAAGAGGAAATCTACCTGTGCAACAGTATAAACACTTTGGCTTAGATGTTGAATCATACAAATTTTGTTTCTTAAATGACGAAATTTCAATTACATTATGGAAGTTAAAAACATGCATTAATTTAACAAAGTATTACTATTCTTAATATATAATCCAAATACTTTAATATGAAAAATTCAGCTTTATAAAAATGCCAAAAAATGTATGAATTGCAGAAATACAAAGAAGTCACTGAAAGAAAGAAATGCAGCATTTAAAATAACTGTATTTCAATTCAATCAAATATTTCAGTATTTTTTCCCACACAATACATAGCCAATTATAATACAATCATTCATTTAATATATATCAAAAGTGCATTATTCAACAATTAATTACCAAGTTACATTCAGAAATAACAAGTAAAAATTTTTTAATACATGTCAACAAAGACCTGCTTGCTAAGATTTATCCTAAATTCTAAAGTATTATGAGTAGATAAACTACCATGGTTACGTATATGTTTCAAAATGTTTTGTTAAAAATATGAAATAAACAGTTTTTCATGAAAGCAGCAATGAAATACTCAAATAAAGAATTATATAATAAAAAGTAATCCTTAAAAAAATCTAACTATTATTATCCTTGTGTATCAACTAAAAATAATTTCAACATTAAAAAAATTTTAAGCAATTATTCCTGTATTAAAAAAGGTATTAAATTGATGAATGGTCCAATTCAGTAGTTCCCATAAAAAAGTACATTTCAAGCACCAAATAATAAAATAATTTGGTACTTGCATAAATTTCTAAACTATTCACTCACTATACTGGTGACTTTAGTTAAGTTTACTATATTTCACAAAATATATATACTTCTGGCACTGGACACAGTTACTCAAGGCACACCTTGTAAAACTGATAAAATACAAGGTAAGGAAAATGAGCTTATGAAATGATTGCAAATGTTTAACATAAAAAATTTATTTCCTCACATACACAAATTAGAGCAATTTAATTTTTGACGCCTATAAAAAGAATTCTGAAAACAATAATCTAAAATGCTTGATTTCTGGGTACCTGCATATAGTTTGCTTACAACAAAGCAAAAGAGTATGAAAAATCGTAAATAATGTTAAAAAAAAATATATTTAATGAATTTCTGTGTTAAAATTCAAACCTTGAAAAGAATAAACAAAGCTATTTTTATCCGATTCATCTTATGCACATAAAAATGATATGCATTAATTAAAATTTGAATTGAAATTAAAATTTTTAAAGAAATACAAATTGTTCATACAAGAGAAAAATACAAGCTGTATTATACACGAGAAAATGAAATCCTGTTGTTTAAATTGTTTCTGCTGCACAAAACAGGTAAATAAATTTAAGACAGAGATAACTGAAATCACATAGTACATCTAAACAGCATTTCAAAACCAACTATGCCTTCTCCATGGCAAAACCAGAGAACTCCAGAGGAAAGCTGAATAAGATTTAGTTTTCTCTTTATGAATTTCTTGGTATTTAACACTCTAGAAATTGATGCCCCACTATTTGGATGTTCATTCAGTACTATGCAAAATTTCCAATCCACTTTACTTACTGCTCTGTACTTGGAAAAATGAATGATCACCATTAAATTTTTTCCAGAAGTAAGCAGCTAAACAGTTGCATAAAAGAAATAAAAAACACAATACTGGTATTACTTTTCTGCTAAATTATATTTATCAAATATATCATTTGATGAATGCACAACACTTTATGTTTCCCAAGTTAACTTCACCCTGAATATTATAACTGTAATAATGTCACCTACCGTTTAACTTAGAAATCAAGAGGAAAAATCTTTTTTTTCCCCAGCAATGTTAGTAAAAATAGTATATGATACGGAAGTTAAGAAATTTTACAGTTGGCAGTTAATGTAGGATTTATATAATTTCACACAAGAATTCCAGATGCCATTTTCAAACAAAAGCACAGTAATAAAGTTTGTTTTGTAAATAAATTTACTATTAAAAAGGAGCTTCTTACACAAGCTGATAAAAGGGCACACATAGTAAAGAATTTCCTGTCTTTAATTTCAAGCCATCGCTATGCTTGAAATAATATATCACTTGATAATAATGGTTTAAAATCTGTTCCAATTTAAAAAGAGGTAAAGTGGGAATAATTAATGCAATTAAAATGGCTAGGGGATCAGCAAAAAAATCCATAAGATACAAACATGTAAAGTATTTCGAAGAGTAAGGGTGCATGTCAATAGAAGCTTAAACAGTTCGTGAGAATTTGACCAATGATTAGGGTTAATTTAGACAAAAATCATCAAAGCATTTCAACAAAAGAATTCCCTCTGGAGTAAATTATTCAGTGGTAGAATTTTTTACATATGAACAACACAAAAGACATTGCTCGTCTCTTAAATTTGGATTTATTCCTTCTGGAGTAAATTATTCAGCTGGTAAAATTTTTTACATGTGAGGAAAGCAAAAGCCATTGCTTGTCTAAAATTTCCCCTTAACATTTCCATTTAAATTACCACCAAACAAAGATTCAAATTTCAACACTTACTAAAAGTAATGAGAATGATGACCTTTGTTAAACATTATGCCAATAAAAATATAATTGACTCCAGAATATATATGGCTCTTAGAAATATGGATATGAAAAGATTGTGAAATAGATTATTTTATGAAATGCTAGAGTGGATATGTTTATACTTTCAGAAACATTTCATTCATTAGGAGACAGTAAATGCAGAAATTAATCTACATGAATGTCTATAACTGCTTCTAAGTACCAGACATTTTGAATCTAAGCTTATATTAAAGATGCAAAACCAGTTGCAACTGGTTGGTAATGGTTTATTCTCTGTTTCTAGTAAAGGAGAGGGGGGACGAAAACTTTCTGGTTGTTCAGTGTACCAAAAATTTGAGTATTCACATACGAAATTTTTATTTATATTAGTATTTTCAAATTACAGCTTGAGAAGTGAAGTTTTAATGTAAAGATCTTACATTAAATGAATTTTAGTACATCTCTCAGTTCTTTTACTTCATAATGAATTGATACAAAAGGACACATAGTTTTCTAAATTTTTAAGAAGGGGAAACTATCAAAACTGGGTTAAAATCAGATTATTTGTTATAACAATACACCTGATCATAATCTGCCTAAACAGACATCTAAGTGAAAGATTCCTAAGGAAATAATTAATTATACACATTACACTTGGAGAAAGCTATGAAAATTCAAATGCTGCAGGCTAGTTATATCACCGAAACAAGATTTCATTAAAGTAAGCCTTCAGCAATGAAATGGAAACAATAAAATTAACTTGCTCAAAATTTTCATTACAACTTCCATCTTCAATAACTACACAATTATTTTGTATTGTCCACTGAAAAGTTTTACTAACAGGTGAAAGAAAAAAGAGAGCAAGTTAATAGAAAAACAAATGAGAATATTTTTGCAACATATCAAGACCTTTTGATAAGGAAAGTAATAGTGTGAAAAAACTAAAAACTGAAGGAAAAAAAGGGGGATTACATAATGCGAACATTTCAAAATAAACCACAAAAAATTAAACAGATTACACAGTTCTAAGAACCAAGCTTTCAATTGAATGGCATGAATATTTTGATAAACTTAACTGTGATAATTAATAAACAACCTATCACTCTGAATTTTGTGCCAGATGACTTATATGTTAAATGTGAAATCTCTGGTCTCGTATACAATTAATTAAAGGCATCCATTTTAATAGTGAATACTTTTCTTCTATTACTACTATGCAAATGATCTTAATAATAAATACCTTACTGCATGCTTAATTTTTTTTTTAAGCATCAGAAATCTCCCCTTTTATTTTGGAAAGCTGTATAAGTATTTAGAATCCTCCAAGACTGATTCAATGAAAAAATGCAAACACTGAACAATTAAAAAAAACTATGTCATCAGATTTGGATTGTTATTATGCTACTGCTTATACTTCACAGCCCTTATAAATTACACAGCAAATGTTGGTCCCTCTTTGTGAAGTATTTTCTTATGAAATTGTCTGCTAGCAATCCCTTCATGGAACAAAAAGAAATGTATTTTCAGTTTTAATTTTTCTGAGGGTAAGGAAGGAATGGTTAAACATGCATTTTTTTGCAAAACATTAGTGCTAGGTGGCTTTCTTTTAATTCATTGCAACAGAATGACTAGATATTTTATGATTTAGGTATTCGATCTTGAATGATTTTAATTCAGTTTTAAATGCTTACAAACATTCTATAGCCTTCCTAGGAACAGGTGTGGGAGACACTATATATTAGGATATGACCAACAAGAATATGAAAGAATACTAATCAGGGATTGGATTATTTAATAAGGTCAAAAGCACACTATGGTTATTTACTGCGGATATCTATGTGTGGTTTAACAAAGGCAACTGCAATCCCATGCAAATTTTTTCAGAAGTATGGCTGCATTTACAAACTCACATGACATCAGACTACTAATACAATGCTCAATAATGAGCAGGGAGATCAAAGCACAGCATTTATAAAACTAAGCACAGTACAATAAGCCACTTCACAGAAAATGTATAATATATGAACTTTACAGAAATGATATATATATATATCCCTTCTATTACCACATTGCAGATTTCCAGCTTAAAATGACCTGCAGTGAATACAGATTACAGCTTTTAAATCAAACAGGAAATTTTGCATTGATAGATTCATGGAAGAACTACAATTAAGTAAACTTCATTTTTTAAAACCCCTCTCCTGTTAATAAGATTTTTTTCAATTTTTCTACATATTTTAGCAAATAAAATAACTAAATTTTGAATATAAAACATTATTATGAAGATAATAGCGACGAGATATTAAGCAGAATTACATGGGTTTTAAAAAACTTGATGGAATAATTTATGCAACAAGCCATACTCAAAAAAATTCTTTCATACATATGAAAGGCAGAAGATTCTATGTATAAGATCTTTGAAAGATCAGAGAAATGCTTTAATTGATCAAATAAAAAAAGTGTGCAAAAGTCAGCACAAATTTATAAAAATACTTGTTTAATTAAACATAACTAAATCTGTGAAATAAACATGTATATAATTAAAATAACATTTCTGCAAAATATTTACAAAGTATTACAGTTTAAATTTTTTCTAGTTGATAACTATTTGACTAGGCAGGCATTATAGGCAGAATATTCAGAATCTTTACTTCATATTATATACTTAAAAGAAATCAAAACGATAAGTGTATTCTTGTAAATCACTTTAAATGACAAAAGTTTCATACCTTAACACAATGCTCGCATAACAGAGATGCAATAAATATAATTTAAAAACTTTCTTACATTGAAATTCCCAAAGGTACAGATATAGGAGAAAAAAACCACGAAAAGCAATATCAGAAACAGAAGACATGTTAAACTTTAGGTAAACAAACAAGAGAAAAATTATATAATGAATTATGAAGAATAAAACAAAACAGAATTTAAAGTTTCATTACTTTTTAATAAAGCACTTATGCAAGATACTTTTATTCTTGCAAGATACTTCTATTATACTTTCAGTTTACCTAATTAAAAATATTCTAATAAACCTAAACAAAAAAACAAAAACAAAAACAAACTTTAAGATAAAGCTTACGCTGCTTGGAAAATTTTAAAAAATAACGACAATGATCTTAAAAGCTATTTGCTGGAGACTGCTCTTTGGGTAGGACTTTTTATCACGGAAAACTAGTTTATATTTAAATGAATATAACACAAAAGTTCTTGAAAACAACTATGTCATCATCATGTTCACAGCTAGGAAAAGAATACAGAATAAAACAACGTTCTACTGTCTCAATTATTTGTATATTTAGGGCTCCGCTTATAAAACAATCTTCATTGCAAACTTAAAACAATAATTTACATGAATTTCTAAAAGAAAACAAAATGCATGTTTATATAGGGTTCACAGAGTATTCTAAACTGAATTAAAAAAAAATAATCTACATTGTTAATACGTCTTACTTTCCCAACAAATGAAGTCCTCCAAGACATTCACTTTAATAAAATCATTAAAAAGAAATATTTGCACATATGGAAGCTGGAGGAAAGTTGTTTTGCTGCCATTAAAATCCAGATCTCAGTCTCATGTGTCATCTATATTTGGCAGTCAAAACCAACTGTTTATTGATCAATGTTGGTTGCACTTGTTCATGACAGATAGCACAAGAGAAAATCAATGTCATCTTGTTCTTCTGCTCATGTTGAAGACAGAACATGTGATCCACTGAATGACAATTCTGATTGTCCAAGCGACTGCACAAGAGTTCTTTTACAAATACGAGGATCTGAAGTGGTCTTTTCTGTGTGACAAGCAAACCTACCACAAAGCCTTCTTACAGTGCCTTCATTTAATAGACAGCATATATATAGCAGTACAAACAATGAGCAAGCCCACTCAACTTCAGGACATTTTAACCTAATGGCAAACTTCGATCTGTCGGCATGTGTTCCACCATTGGACTGTGGACTGGAGTGTTAGCATCTAGTTGATGTTACTGTGATGCAGCTGGTTGTGTGCAAGGAGGCAGCATATCACATACAGCTTATGACTGTGAGGCAGTCTTGATGACCATTCAGGGCCCACTCCAGGAAATAGATCCAAATATCAGCAGGACAAGTTGAAGCACACTTTTGCCTGGCAGTATGATATTAGGTTTGCAGGAGACCTGAGTTCAACCCTCAAAGTCATTTCTGACCAACTTCATATTGAAGCACCCCTCTTCCCATCCTTACTAATATGTGGCAGTAGCTGCGAAGACAGCAAATGCCTGGACTTGCCACCCACATATTTTGTGGTTACTCCAACGTTAATAAGCAACTTCATAAAATCAAAAATATAATGAAATTGAGGTAAAAATTATACAGTGGACTTCATAACAATATGAAATGCACAATCAAATCACATATTGCATTTTATAGTAAGTAAAACAGCAATGAACACATAAAATGAACAAAAATAAATCCTATTTCAGGAAGCCATTTTCAAGACCAGCCCAAATGGAGGTGCTCTCTTACATTAATGCAACAGAAAACATATTTTCTAAGATTATTATACTGAAAAACTGTACAGCATTTTTTAAAATGAATATTACAAAATAATGAGAACTTTGGCATAAAACTGTGACTTGAGGCATTATTTACATATGCTACTGTACAAAATAACATGAAAAATAAATAATTCTTACTTTTAATGAGAGCTGATCCCATATTTTTAAACAACTTGAATACTACAGAATTTTTTTTAAATTCTACAAATCGTACAGATCTGGATCTTTGATTTTAAAAAGCAGGAAAAGGATGAAATGCCTAAAAATATTCCAAAATAAAAATAAATAATAATAATAATAATAATAAAAAAAAAATCCCACTAACACATATTCTACAAATATGTTTTAGCAGAGTTTTTTCCTCTCTAGCCAAATACACTTGACCCAAAAAACTGAGACTTTTGCTAACAATTTTTTTCTACTGCTATTTTCTGTTTATCAAATTTGTCCATAACAAGTGTCAAGAACTCAAGACTTCAGACAGTGTCAGGAACCCCAAAGCATCTAAAAACTGAAGCTCTTAATTTGAAATAGAACAGATAAATTTCTTCTAGCCAGTATTGATTCAATAATTTTCTTCAAAGATACTAGACAGGTACAAATATATAACAAGATAAATGGCAACTAAGGTCTCATTTCTTCTCTTGTTTGGGATAACAACATGCATATATATCATGCAATTAATATTTATGAATTTTCAAAATTATTGCAAACATATATGAATATTGTATGGACAAGCAGAATACCAAGAGCTTGGCACATTAATATTTACTGTTGAAAATGTTTGCCACTAATAATTATCTTGAAATATTTTTTTAAGATTAAATCTATCAAAGTTTAAAAAAAAAACCTTTACATTTCTTGCTGAAACAGCAGATAACTGAAAAAAGTAAATATAAAAGAAACTGATTCACATACATTACATTTTAGGAATACCAAGACAGTGTTTTGTAAATATGAAAACTAGATATTTTGACTGTTTTTACAAAGCTTTTCCGATTGCAGGCTACAGAAAAAAACGTTAAAACACCCAATTTTCTTCTCACAAAATAGATGATTTCCTGACCTCAGTAAATTTGATATGAAAAACATTCATACAGTAAATATAAGGAAGTATTTATGCAATAAACAATATACAGAAATAATTTTTTAAATACATTACTTTTGAACTCATTAACCAGTCATATTATTAAACACCAATGAATTTTAAGCTTCATAAACAAAACTGATTAAACCACTTGTTTCATTTCCTCAATCTAAGCCCCTTTATCTTGATCAAAGCAATGCATTTGTTGGGACAAAAATTCACGAAGCTAAGTATTTAAAAATATTAAAAAATCTAAAATCTCTATGTTTTCATAGCTACAAACACATATATTTTGAAATTTACTACACTGATTTTAACATAACTGATTATGATGAAAACAGAAAATATTTCACACTACTTTTCATCATTTTACGGCATAGTTGTTGATTTTATTTACTCAAAATGAAAGAAATAACAAAAATAACCATTCCATCACTAATGTAAGCAATTGTAAGATACACAATAAAATAGTTCCACATGATTTTAGGAAAAGAAGGAAGCTTAACTGGCAAAAGAGAGATTTACGAAAATATAAAGCAATAAATTACTGCACAGACATCACTGAATTACATTTATAAAGTTTATTTTTTAAATTTTTTTTAGGTTTGAATATTTATGACAATGAAACAAAAACTTATAATCTGAAGCATAGAATAACATATGGAGAAAGTAACTATAACACACCAGATAAAATCTTTATTTTCTCATAATGCAAGACCATTCTTGGCATTACTGATTAGAAATTTCACTCAAGATATAATAAACATAATTTAGTAAAAACTTTTCAGGAACAATAAATCTATCATCATGCCTGGCACTTGGTTCCAGTAGGAACTACTGCAATATAACATTTTAAAACTGACTAGTGACAAGCACCACCTTTCAAGTTTGCAACAGACATTAACTTACAATTTGTATTTATTGAGTTCATATTTGAACTCATTCAACTGTTGTACCATTGGTTTGGATGTACATATTTTAGTTAACTACATATGCCTTACATGTTACACAATTTTCACAGCATCATTATTTGTCAAAGTTGTCAAAGTTAAAACCTACAAAAGCATAAACAAATAAATTCCAAGTTTCTTTAAACTTTTAATAGGATTATTTTATATGATTGTGGCATTTGATAAATTTTCCAATTTCCTGCCAGCAGCTTTCTCAATGATATAAGATTTTCAGGCAGGCGTGTTTTTATAATATATCACAAATCCCATCACAAGGCAAAGGCTTTAGATAACAGCCATTTAGTCAAGCATGCCACACTAAAAAGCAAGGTTCTTTTGTCTTGCAATTTCAAAAAATATAGCACTCAAAAATTTTGTTGCCTTTTTTTCTTGGCATCTATGGCATCTAAAATTGGTTGTCGTTTGGCTTGATAACGGCGCCTTAGCTCTTCAATTTCTCTCTCCATTTCTGAGTCTAAGCTTGCCATGCGCTTACTTAGTTCATCATAACTTAAGAATTTTAGCTGAAACAATAAATCTGCTATTACTAAACATGTTATCTGAATACTAAATATACAAGTTTTTAAATAACTTCCCTTACTCTTTTTTATTTTAATTAATATTAACAAAATGACAACAAAACATAAAAAAAAAAAAAAAAAAAAAAAAAAAAAGCACAGCAAATAAATATTTATCACATCTAATATTAAACTCAAAAACCAAAGTAACTACTGTTCTTTTATTTATGTGACCAATATTACCTATAAATTAGGTACATAAAATTTATCAGCCTTCATGAACAAAACAAAATCCAGAAACATATTTCAATGGCATTTATTTAAATACATTTTATGTATTAATCTATAAAATTACAGAGCTAGCACAAAAGTTCAACATTACTTGTCATGCATGAAGTAATGTTGGGCTACCCTGTATTTTCACTTCACAAGCATTAGAAAATTTACTCATTACCAAGTTGCAAAGCAAGAATTGGTTGATCTTTGGATTATGGTAACTTGGCGATTTTTTTGGCGAAAATTTGGCGACCAAATCTACTACAGCAACCCTCTACTTTTTTTCCCGCCCCCATTTTGTCTTCACGAAGTAAAGACATATTTCTTTTCTTTTATTTACTCAACACTTTTTCCAACAATCTACTAGCCGAATGACACTTATGCTAGAAATTTTATGTAACAAAACTGCTTAATCATGACAAATATTAACTGCAAAATTGGGAAAAAGTGCACAATCGCAAACTCCTTGCGCGTTTTTCAGAATAGCACATACACATAAACCATTTACACGTCGACTTATTTTTACTTAAAAAAACATCCCAGAATTGCACAAAAATGGCATTGTACACACTCTTAACTTTATCCATCTACACTGCTATTTTCTCATAAATTACAAAAATTTGCACGAAAATGCAGGAAAATTTTGTGAATCTTTAAACTCGGTAAAAAGCACATATATGAAATTACCTGATCGCGAAAAAGTATATACCCTTTCCAAGGATGAACATTTCCACGTATAAAATAAATAAAATATCCAAAAGCTTTTACCTCTAAATTATCTATTATATTATAAACGTCACCAACGAATTTATACGCAAACGTTAAAAATAGTTACAAATACTTAGTGTCAAATATTTAAATTATTTCCATACACGTTTACCTCAACTGAAATGCATACCAAATTCCTACAAACATAAAATTCACAAAATAACTATCATTTAATTAAAATATCACTAAACCATGTACACGTCGACTTATTTTTACTTAAAAAAAACATCCCAGAATTGCACAAAAATGGCATTGTGCACACTCTTCACTATATCCATGTACACTGCTTTTTTGTCATAAATTAGAAAAATTTCACGAAAATGCATGAAAATTTTGTGAATCTTTAAATCCGGTAAAATGAACATATATGAAATTACTTGATCGCGAAAAAGTATATACTTTTTCCAAGAATGAACATTTCCAAGTATAAAATAAATAAAATATCCCAACACTTTTACCTCTAAATTATCTATTATAATATAAACGTCAGCAACGAATTTATACACAAACATTAAAAATAGTTACAAATACTTAGTGTCAAATATTTAAATTATTTCCATACACGTTTACTTCAACTGAAACGTATACCAAATTCCTACAAACATAAAATTCACAAAATAACTATCATTTAATTAAAATATCACTAAACCATGTACACGTCGACTTATTTTTACTTAAAAAGAATCCCAGAATTGCACAAAAATGGCACTGCGCACTCTTCACTATATCCATGTACACTGCTTTTTTCTCATAAATTAGAAAAATTTCAAGAAAATGCATGAAAATACTCAACGTATACTACTCAAACGTATTCCAAAATACTCTCACAAAATCACGATCATTAAATTAAAAAACACTACTTAAAATATAAATAAGCACATACATTAAATTAATAAAAATTAGATTACAATCCTAATTACTTTAAACTAAATCATTGCTAATAACAATTTTCCAATAATACCATTTTAATTTATTTACTCCTTACATTTAGAACAATGCATAAAAATAATATCCTCAAATGATTAAAAATACTAACTTACCTAATCTTCTTCAGAATCTTCATTACGTGGCACGCACACTTCCCAACACATTCCAATCGGCTGCAGTACTACTGCTAATTTCTAAATCCGAAATCCAGTAGTCAACTTATTAATTATTACGTATTAAAAATTTAGAATTCACTTTACATAGCGCCATGCAATCCGAAAATTAATCAACACTATTTCACACAACACACAATGAAGCTTAACACAAAATAATTTTTCCAAATTTACCCCCCCTTTCCGATTAAAGAACTGTAATTCGTCCATTAATGTCACATGACACATCTTATGATCTCTTATTTCCCTCACACAAAATAATGCGTAATCGGAACTGAGTGCTTTTCACATTATTACCAAAGTCCTAGGTAGTAACCTTTATCGCCTCCAAAATTTCGCCAAACTACCTCTTACCATATTCCAAAGATCAGCCCAAAAATTTTTCAACGAAATATAGTACAAACTTCGAGATACAGACATCCAATATCCGGAATGATCTAAAATCCAGACCTCAAAACCGCCAACAACCTTTTTTTAAAATGCTTTATGCATGCACATTTGATTTTTTCCCCTTATAGATAAAACATGTGGAGAGTCCCGATTCTTAAATTTCCCTCCGGCACTAAATAAATACCCCATTATTGAAGAAACAATAATTTAGCATAAATTTGTGTGAATGATAATTTGGCTCTGTAGTTGCGTATCTGCTTGGTATACATCTTAATCACATTATTCTAGATAGAATGTTTGGGATTGTTGATTTTACACCTACTAATATTTTATATCTCTAATATTAATCACTTTTTGCAGGCTGTTTTTATTATAGTAATCTGATGAAAGTTAAAGTTTCAACTTTCGATAATGTTGAAAAGAGTTTCTAATTCTGGAGCTACAATAGAATCTATAAAGTGAAAGCATGTTTCAATGTCCATTAAACAAGAAGTGGAACTGTATATGACATAACTGTCAACTGTATGACATAACAGAAAAAGGACCTTTTTTAATTTTTTGTGGATTATGACACTCTGCTCACAACGAATAACAGGAAAATTATTCGTTATGCTAGAAGTGAAGATGATAATTGAATACAACAAAAATAATGATAATTTAATGGATAAGACAGCATCGCAGCGAGGGCGTACCATTGACGGGTCAAATGATAATGGCGCACGCTAAAATATTTCACAAAGAAATGAACTTAAAAACTGAGTGCACATATTCGACAGGTTGGTTAACCAAATTTAAAAATCGCCTTGGTATAAGGCAATTCAGAATTTCAGGTTAAAATGATACAGAACTATTTGCAAATGAATACATTGAACTCATTAATAGTTAAAAGTTATCTCCAGAACAAATTTACAATGTTGATGAAGCTGGTCTTTTCTGGCAATATGTACCACAAAATGAGGCTCGGTAGAATTCGATTGGTTTACATGATAATGCAAAAATCGTCTTGACTGTAGACAACTGATCAGCTCATACTTCACTTAGAGTTTTAGTGAAAGATATAATGTATCCATATTCTTTCCTCCAAATTGTGTCAATCATTCAGCCTATGGATATTGGAATAGTGCACATGCTGAAATGCAAATATTAAGTAGAATTTTTAAAATCCATGTTAAATTTCTTGAATAATGGGAAGACTATTAAAAATTTTTCGAAGCATTTTAGCGTAAAATCTGCTTTGTGGAGAATCGCAAAATCGTGCGAGGATGTGTCTTCAGATACTTTAAAAACTGCTTGGCATAATTTATGGCCAGCTAGCAGCATATTTCATATTCAGGTTGATGAACATGATAGCCACAAATGTTAAGGTTTTCGGATATCGTAAACCAAAGGTTCAATTTCCCAATTAAAGAACTTTTTTATTCGGTTTGGGTGTATATTGGAAGAAAAGGATTCAAGGTACAAAATGAAAGAGTAATTTTTTAATTAAAATCAAGAAAATACCACTTATTCATCACATTTTGAGGAACTTTGAAATTTTCGAGCTGAACCCGTAACGCTTGGAGAGTTAAAAAAATGTGGAGAATCGGTAATAAATGACGATGATATAAGAGAAGTTTTTTATTGTGATGACAATGCTCCAATAATCAATGAACAGATGGTGAAATCTCTAGTATGGTTCTAGATTCAGAAAATACCGCTAACGATGGTGAAGAAAGTGACAGGGATTACTGAAAACGAAAAAAATTTTCAATTGACAAGTTAGTCAGAATTCTTGACACAGCAATTACAGAACTTGCACAATGAAACTTTTTATCTGAATAAGAAATTATGTCTGTCTACAGAATTGAAGAGAAACGACTGAAAGAAATGTTTAATAAAGTAAACAAATAAAGATCCAGTTTTTTTTGGGGGGGGGGTAAATTTTGTTACCTTACTTACCCTTTAGATGATAAAAGCTTCATTATTTCATAAATCACGATTTCATATTTCTAATTTTATAATTTCTACATGCTATCTTACAAACTATAAACTGATGATTCGGAAAAATCCCAAATCCGGACTCATTGCTCGGACTTTGTACTGTATTGTATTTACTCACATATTCCCCCTCCCCCAATTTTTTAGTACAAGGTACTGAAAATATTTTAAATATTCACATAATCTTCCCTTTCCTCAAGGTATTTGGAAATGAGTTCTAAATTTTAAGTTGGTTTTGTCCATGAAGTGATTGTTTTTATCTAATAGATCTTCTTGTGAAATTTGGATGCATGGGCTCTGATTAATGAAGCAGTAATAGTGAAAAGCTTTAAGAAAATGAGGATATCTAATGGTCTTAATGGTTCTGAAGATCATTACACATGGGAAGGACTGAACAATCATGAATATAATGAGAACGGTAACAACGTCAACAAATTGCAAGCTGTAGCAAACAACCATTTATGCAGCATTAAAGGATTTTAAGTCTAGAAAGTAACAATGGACCACAATAAGAGCAAGGAGATTTCAAAATACATTCAAGTATAAATGAATATATCTTAGAGATTATAATGATAATATTATTATGTATTCTAATTACAATGTAGATCTCTTTTAAATAAATAATACTGTTATAATTATTGGTGATTTACCCACAAAACTTATAATTTTGGGGGCATACATTTCATTTTGGGGGGGATGTTCCTTTAAACTTTTGCAGGAATGACTGGCAACATTTCTGCCAATTTTTCATGTTTTGCACGCTTTCATAAACGGATAAGGCCTATGAAATACACTGACTTTTATAAGACAGAGATGCATTACCCCCTTGAAATCTTAATTTTAAATGTATCGGGTTTTAACGAAAGTATCCCGCCACTGCAAATCTGCTCTGCGCAGACAGTTCCCGTTGGCATGTTTAGCCATATTTTGTCAAACTATTTTTGGCATTTCAAAGAGAATTGCTTTAGAACACTGTGATGCGAAAATTTATAAAAAAAATATCGTTATCATTAAGTACAAGATGTCTGAAATGAAATTGCCATGCTACCAGATTAGAACCATCATTTACTTCCAGTTCTGTTGTAAAAAGTCAGCTACAGAATGTTACCAAATCATGTCTACAGAGTGATACATGATTACAAAAAAGATAAATTACAGCACCTCCATTATTCTGAAAAAAAAAAAAAAACAGTTATAACATTATAAAATGTGTAAATGTAACGGCATAAAATGTAAATAATTTAAAAGTAACTCACAAATATTCAGATAATTATAAATGTTCATTTTGCATATTACTGTATTATCTTTTTGTGGCAATACTGATTTTGTTTTAGAATCCAATGTTTTGTTTTTAAGAGAAAAAAATTAGTTTTGCAACCAGAGTTGAAAAATAAAAGATTTGATATTAATATAGCAATGTTCTTTGTAGTTCAGTAAAATACCCGTTGTGGTAGTTAGCCTTTATCTGCATTTTATTACGTAGTATCAGCTAAGAACGAACAACTGGCAAACCGTAACATTCAACTTTATTTAATATGACTACAGAAAGCAAAACAGAAACAACTACATTAATGGATGCTGAAGCAAATAAAGTAAGCATTAAAAATCCATTTAATTTGTCAAAAATAACCGGATATTTGTTTTCACCAAGTGAAGCCCAGTTTAAAAAATAATCACCAGTGAAGAAGCTATATTCAGTTATTTACTATCCCAGCTCGATGCTGAAAATATATGGGGCATTATTAAAGACACTAAGCCTAATACATATTATATAGTGACAGACTTTTAAATATTTTCAAAGAAAATGAAAATAAATAAATTCAGCGTCTGGTTACTGGATTAGAACAAGGAAATTATCAGCTAAGTCAGCTTTAGCAGAAAATGAAGTATATCTACAAATGACTTTCCGGAAAAAAGAGCTAAAACCTTTATGGCTGGATAAATAGCCTGATTTTATAAAAAAAAATAGTTCTCTTGTAAGTGATGAAAATTTAGACAAATTGACTACAATGTCTCACAAAATTCATGAGACCAAAATCTGAAAAAGAAATTTATGCTGTTTCACCAAAAAGAATGTTAATGATGAGCTATTTGCAAGAATAGCTAGCTGCCTTTCAACAGCAAATTACATGTTCATCAGAATAAAAACAGTGAACTGCAGAATGCTCACTGGCAAATTAAATCACAAATACCTTCAAGCTGTTAATTTATCAGAATGAATTTGAAAACTATAGTCTACTGGCTACAGACTCTTAGCCTTACTCTGAGATGTAGGACTTTATCTGTGTACATATGGGTGATTATGCAGCTCTGGTGATAGATCTGCAGATCAGAGCATCTATTTTTTATGACTTTTCTCCACAATCCTTCACGATGTAAACTGCCCTACAACAAACATTTGATGGAAATCTGTGTGCCCTCATTACTCTTCAGGATGGTTGGTTAGTTGATTATAGCAGTATACTCAACTGTCGTCTGGCCTAGGCCTGACTATTATCTACCTCTGATACCTTCATGGAAGACTTTCTAAGTTCAACTGACTCATATTTATGTTATAAATGAAGACAACCATAAAAACTCCAAGCAGCAAGCTCATGCGCCAGGAGTTGAACTATAAAGAACTACCACCTTTCAGCACTCTTATCTACTAGATTTCTTCTTCAAAGTAAAATACATTGAGAATAAGGAGAAGTAATCTGACTTTTAATTTTATTGATTAACACCTCTTGTATGGAATTCTTAAGTGTGGTGCCATTTTGGAAATGGCTGTTGCCTTTCGTGCATTAGCTTGGCAAATCAATGAGTTTTCAAATACTCCCTAAAATCCCAATGGGTTTTGCTACTTTTCAGTGGAGGTGTGGATAATAAAAAAATATAGAAGTAAGTCATATGGGCAAGTGGAACAAAAATATGCAGCATGCAATGAAAATGTAACATATTGTTTACATAATAAAAATTTGGTTGAGAGACACAATAGATTGAGAGCTATTTTCTTGAAAATCAGTGCATTCAGATATATACTGACGGCAATTTATATGCATTAGTGATGGATTTACTAACATAGGTCCTCTTCAAAGCCTGTATCTTCTTAACCTCTAGATCATTCATTCAGTTTCTTTAGAACTTGTGACTCATTACTGCCAGAATCTTTTAAATGCTCTTACCGACTCAACAGCATTAGAGTGGGTCCCTGCTCATTGTTAAGAAGTAAATGAGAGTTCAGATTTCCTGGCAATGAAAGGAACGGCTGCCCTCAAAATCCAGAAATTTTAAGAACTTTCATTTTGTTAAGAGATTGATAAATATAGAATTGAGCAAGATTTGCACATAAAAGCTAAAGAAACGGCTTGGCAAAGTCTACTGGACAAAGAATGTAATATCCTAAATTCTTGTGCTACAGCCATGGTATCATTCCACCTTTTGACTAGACATGATTACTTTAATATTTATCTGTTTACATAACACTCAATTCTCCAGTATATTTTGTTTGGGACTCTGGACAACCCATTGACAAAGAACATTTAAACACATGATCTGCACTTCACTACTTTAAATCTATAACTCAGAAGCATTAGAAAGCAAGAAGGCCAAAGCAAGAGCCAGATACTTCTAAATATATAAATAATGCGATAAAGATTTTGTATGGATTTTTCATCACATTTCATTCTTGAGCATGGATTGAATCATTCTCAACGTAACAATTACATGAAAGTACTATTTTAATAGGAGTATGGATTTAATTAGTAAATTTAAGCAATCTGAATAGTTGCTTTTATCAGATATACATAAAATATTAATATTTTCAAATGCAAAAAGTAAGCACTTCCATGGGATTTTTAATCTATGTAAGGTTAAATATGAACTAATTGTAGCATCTTCAAGAAATATTTTAAAAGTTATACTTACAAAATCAAAATCACCTTCAGTAAAAGAACGTTGAAATTTGGCTGGTTCATGTAAAACAGCAGAGGGCCCAACACTACTAATCTGACTGAGTTGTCGCTGCAAATGATTAGAAAACCGCCTTTCAGGTGTTTGTGAGAGTTTATTCTGCGAGTTTGATTTTAAAGCATTTTGTTGAAAATGATTTGGATGGGGTGTTCCTGTATGAGGCAGAGGTGTGGAGATATTATTTAGACAAAGCTCATTTCTGTGCTGCTGTTCCTTTTCTTTCTTATCAAAATGATCCAAGAAATATGGACGGTAATTTTCTTTCTTTTCACCAGGAGGAGCTGTATCATGCCCTAAAAACAATAAAATGCATGAATGCATAATTCTGAATTCTTAATAATAATTAATAAAGAAATGTTTTAAGTGGTTTATGAATCTCACTTTTCATAGTAGAATCATCATCTTCTCCATCACTATTGATTACAAGAGTACCTAGATCTGATTCAATATCACTATTTGCTACTAGAGTATTACTATCACTATGAGCAATCATTGTGCCAGATTCATTATTGCTTGGCACTAATGTGCCTGAGTCTCCCATGAACTCAACCATAGTTCTAGAGTCGACTTCATCATCATCCTGCAAAAAGAAAAATCTGGAATTTAAATTTGAATCTAAGTTATTTTTCAATGTAATATACTTGCTCTAATTAAATATAATGTGGTTTATAGGAATTAAATGGTAAGAATAAAGTAATGTAAACAACGCATTCAAATTATTAAGATTTCATTTATGCATTTAAATTTTTTAATCGTACAAACAAGATAAATTCTTTATGCTTTACTTATACATTAAATTTCTGTTAACTACTTGAAGTGAATATTTAATGTTAATCTTTTACCTGTAGTACATTTTTAACTCTTTAAATGAATAAAATCAGATGACCCAATGACTTGAGAAAAAGAACACTACTTGTTTATTTTCTATCAAATCAAATAAAAAAAAAAAAATCTACCAGTTGTTGCTGGGCAACAGTCCTATGTTGCCATCATACGAAAATTAAAATGTACAGAAATTAAAGATAAGATGAAGAAGAAACATTGAGGATGCTACATCTATACTTTTAGATTTTTAATCAAACAAACAAGATAACTTCTTTATGCTTTACTTATACATTAAGCTACTATTAACTACTAAATGAAACAAAATGGTAACATATTTAACAAAACCATCAGCTTTTCATACAGTAAACCCATTTAGGATCACCAATATTTCAGGCAGTTCTGATCTTCTGTGGAAGTGCTCATGTTATAGAAGACACACACTGGTGATAATAATTATAAGCTTGAGAGAAGACAGTTACTAGTGATAATAACTATCAATTTGTGTAATGGTTTACCTTATTGAAAGTCCTTAGGAGTCTATTATAGAAAAATACTAAAAAGTGGTACATCTATTTATTAATAATACTGTTAAATGAATGAAATCAAAAATTAATTATTAAGAATAAAGTTGTAGCTAAAAAAGGCCATCAGAAAATTATTTTTACTTACATATTTTAAAACACGAGTTTATTCACAGTATAACTGGGGGTAAGAAATTTGCTTACCATCTTACCAATGAATATTGCGTATTTTACTTGTTCCTTCCTTATAAGTAGAGAAAATTTATAAATACAGCAGCAGTTTATTTCTAAAAACTACTCTTCTTAGAGGTATGTAGTAAAGATATGCATCAGACAAAACTTTTATCTCTAATTCAGGAGGGAAAGAGATAAAAAAAGGGCTTGAGTTATTGTTCCCAATACAGGGTTCATACCATGGAGGTAGGAAAGGGAGGAGGGGCCATTCCACGCTAGAAGTGAAGCACTGCTTTGAAGCTTGGGTCACCAGAGGGGGTGTTCTTTGTTTACATTCAGAAGCTCGCTTGACAAGATTCTGATAGTATTTCGACACATGACAGTTCCATAGAAATCGAAAAAGGCACACTCTCGCATGAAAGAAACATTCGTAGTGTGATGGATAATAGCAATTTGTATAGTTTACTGACATTTACGCAAAACTCACATCTTGGTTATTTTTCGATAACAACAGCCATTTTGATTATGAATTTGTTTTATAAAATTATAAGTTGTTGCACTACAAAAATATAGATTTTAAGAAAAATGTTATGCTTAAAGAATGAAAAATACCTTACGGTACATTTAAAATTGTATACGTCTTTCGATACCCTTGATAGAGTATTCGCTACTTTTATTTTATTTTCCAAACATCTAAATGTTTTAAATAAAACAAATTTTTTTCACATCCATATATTATTGTAACATGTACCTTTTAAAATTTTTTAGAGCAGAGGCTTTACTGCTGCTCATTTTAAACCCATCGTTTTAATTTTATATATCTGAAAAATAATCACTTTGGGCTTACACGTTTTTCTTATTTGGGTTAACTAAAAATAAAATTACCATCAAATGCTGCAATCCTCATCAAAATTAATAAATATACACACAGATATGCCGACAAGTTAGGTTTCTCTTGATTTGGAATCACACATTTGTGTAAAATTATGTACAGTTTTACACAAATGTGTAGAACAGAAGAGGGATACATTTGCGAATTTGGCGGAAGTACCATGTGCGGTCAAGATGATGTGACCATGCGAACGTGCTACATCATCAAGACAGCTTATTCAAAATTTGAAAATAGGGTAATCGACGGACAATTGTGAAACAATTGTGAAAGTACTGTGAAGAAATCTAATGATTCAATGTATCTAATTATAATGATTATAAATGTTATCTAAATATATAATAACCTTAATATTGAATTGTAAACATAAATTGAAATCCTGTTGACAAATACGTTATAAAACTATTTAAGCAAGAATTGTTCGTATTGGAAAGCAATCTGTTAAAAGGTATTGTAAAGCAAATGTTTTGAGATGTGCACTTAAGAACGTAATAAAGAGTTTTGGAATATGTATGTTGAAATGAAGAGTAAAAAAAATCTGATAAGTATAATTAAAAGAATTATTCCCCTACATTTTATAATAACTCAGTTACAAGTTTTTTAAATAATACTTAAAAAAAAAAAAAACTTATTTATTCCCTTTCAGAAATGTTCAGAGAAAGTCAAATGCTATTTAATACCTATTTAATTATTAGGAATACCTATTTAATTATTAGGAAATACTTATTTAAAGTATTTCGCTAATTCCTAATAATTCTCTAATTTAAAATGAACCGACTAGAGCATTAATTATAAATTGACTTACATTTTTCGATTTAAAAGATGCCTCAGAAACCAAAAAATCATGTATTATTTAAGAAAGTATTTTAGGAAGAAGCTCTATAAATAGAAAAGAAATGATGCATAATTTTAATATTAATAATACAATAAACTTTGATCTTAATTTTTGTACCTTAACCGATATAAATCGAATTACCTTAATTTTTTTTTTCTAATGTAATTAACGAAAACTTGTGAAAATATTTCATTCAAATTAAACTATTCTGAGAAAACTGTCCGTAAAAAGTATAAGCATTTAATTCCATTCAGAATGAAATGTTGTTTAAAAATATGTTGTTTTTCACATACTTAGGACTCTGAAGTGTTTGTAGAAAAAGAAAATATATACATTTATATGTATATTTGCGACGTAATTACAAAATATTTACACCCGAACGCGTCAAATCCCATAGATTCAATGGTAATGACCCAATGTTTTGGTCACCCGTAGGGATCGCCGGTGCTCAGAGCAGGGTACGGAAAACTTTTTGGGCGACTCCATCTACCTTCCTACCTCCAGGGTTCGTACACATTTCCTTACATGAAAATTAAGGACTTTTAAGGACCATCAAAGAAAAAATTAAGGACCTATCAGCAAACAAAAAAACGAATAGAATAAAGCAATTATCCATACAACCGACTTCATGCTTGTAATTTCACTTTAAGAAACTAACAGAAGTGTGTATTATGCACTATTATTAAACTCACTTTAATACTTACCATAAAACAATTTTGAAAATTAAACTAACTCCTACAAGTTATGAAGTAGATAACATTAAATTAGGAACATAATTTCTTTAAAAACATGTATAAGTGTATTTTACACTAATAACAGTCACTATTTAGAGATTTACATGATTATTATTAACTTATTGATATTTATTTAAACACAGTCAACTATTATAATCACAATGTAAGAATATTTTGCAGCTTGTGAAATGTCCTTCTTGCGGCATTTATCATTCATTAACTGCTCAGCAATGAATCCCAAATAAACTTTACTTTTATCATTATAACAATTTGGATCATTAAAATTAAATTTATAAAGATTTTCTGCTTTAGTTATTTTTGAATATTCTAGTTTCAAAATTTTAAAGTGCTGAAGGCAATCATTTACAAGTTTTAAGATATCTTCAGCAAAAAAAGGAATAAGTGGTTTATCACTTTGATAATATTCAAGGAAAGGCAATAATATTTTCGACAGAGAGAGAAAAAAATTTAATTTTATAAGAAATGTTTTATCTTTAGTTGCCTCCAAAATATTTGAGAAGGATTTCGATGAATTTTTTTTTAAACTTCCCCATTTCAACTTCTTTAATGTACAGTAGCAAGTCATCCCATATTTCAATGGCTCTTTCAACTGCTGGGACATTTTGCAACCATCGGTAAAAGCAGAACTTCACAGGTAGCTTTTTTAAGCCAGATATACTTAAAAAATCTTCACGTCTTGCAGGAGAATCTTTAAAAATCCAATATAAGGAGGATAAGAATGATGGAATGTCCCAGCCAGTGGATGACATCCTATGCTTGAAAGCATTGTTAAGAATGTGTAAACCACATGTCCCTAATGTCAAGCATTGAATGTTATATTCCTTTGTCAAGTCCTGTTGCAATAAATCATAAAATTTCCAGTTTACTGCAGGACCATCCATCGATATTTGTAAGAGTTTTGACAAGTCTAGTTTTTCAACACATTCATAAAATTTGGATAAAAATAATTTCACTTGTTGCATGCCCTATAAATGCAGAAGTAAGGTACTGAGTTCTGACCTTATTTTCGTGATGCCAGTACCTCACATAAATATCTAGTTGCTTCTTTTGATTTGTCAGATTAAGAGTCTCATCAAATAGTAATGTAAAAAACTCAGCATTTTTACAATGCTTTAGTAACAAAGTTTTAAAATAAGGGCCAAGACCAAAATAACAGATATAAGCACATTTCTTTTCACCACATGAAAACTATTTTGCAATGGAACTATCCGGGAACATTTTAGTGAATAACGGCCCAATATCATCGCACGATTTAAAAGAATAGTGGCTTTTGATGCACTTAAAAGCCCACAATATTTCTGCATCTGTAACTTCAGATTTGAAAAGAAAAGAATTGATTTTATTATTTTCTACACTTATTGATGTTGAATTAGCAGTTACATCTTTTCCTGAAGTAGATGGTTCTTCTAACTTCATGATACTGACAAAATTCATGATACTGTTAGAAGAAACTCTGCAGTTGAGAAGGGAAAGATGTTTTGCAGCTAAAAGGGGCATTACATGCAAGGCATTAGTAAAATTAAGTATCGCATATATATGTATATATGTATATATATATATAATAAGAAATGTATACTGAAA